GAGCCCAAGTCTACTCCACAAGATAGTTTGTCCACTCAGAAGGTTCCGAAAGAACCTGCAAACAAAGGAAGGGATTCAAAATCAATTCCAGTTAATAAGGATGTACCTGAAGTTGATGAACCTGAATTTGTTAATCCCCAGAAGGAGACTCCTGCCAAAGAGCCTGAAATCGATCCAGTAAAGTTGAAGGAGATGAAGAGAGAAGAGGAAATGGCAAAAGCCAAGCAAGCTGTAGAAAGAAAGAAGAAGTTAGCTGAGAAAAATGCAGCAAAAGCAGCTCTCAAAGCACAAAAGGAGGCTGAGAAGAAGCTTAAGGTAAACATCTATGCAATCTTCTTTTATTCTCTATCAGACATGTGTACATTGCTCGGTATGAAACGGGTGCTTGGTTGATCTCAGGAGCGGGAGAAGAAAGCAAAGAAGAAAGCCGCATCCTCTGCCCCTGGTCCCAATGCTGATGAACCAGAAGATGCAGCAGTAGTTGAAGCTACAGAACAAGAAAAGGATGCAGAAACCTTTGATGCCTCCCCAGCTCCAATGAAGGAGAAGGTCGCAAAGGAGACTGCCGTCAGGTCAAGGAGTAGAACAAAAGGCCCTGAGGCGATCCCAAAAGCCATTCTAAAGCGAAGAAGGTCGAATAACTACTGGCTATGGGCTTCAGGTGCAGCTGTGCTACTTCTGCTGGTGGCAGTTCTTGCATACAACTATCAAAGTTTAATTTAACAGTTTGTAATATGTAAGCGAGTTTTTTAACTCCTTGAGAGTAGACTAAGTTAATTTGTTCCATACATACTGTTGGGCTTAGGGGGAAAGGATCAAACACACTTTATTTTTCTTTGCTTGTTCTGTTGGGAGAAGCTGCTGCACACATTTAATTAGTTTGTCTCTGTTCTACTTTGAAATTTTGTTCAAATTTCATGAGATGTTACCGGATGCTTAAATTTTAGTTGATTGTTCAGAGGAAAATGTTTAATGCGTATCATAAGATCTCTGTTGAATGAGAACGGGTCTGTGTTTTCGTTACCAGCTGTGGATGTTCTACGTAGTTTGTGATAAAATTATATAATTGGCTGAATTAAAGGAAAGCCAGACAAGTTTACATCTGTTGGCCAGCATGGAAGGAAAGTCAAATCAATTTCTTTTGCCTTGAAAAGTTCTTTTGTACTTTATGACAAAAAAAACCTCCTGCGTAAAATTACTTAAAAAAAGTTAAATCCAATCACTTTCTTGAAAATGAAATATTTTCGAACACATTTTTTTAAGGAAGTTAAAAATCAAATCGATTGCATGTTTGCAATGTCACTGAAGAAGAAAAGGCTTGTGAATATATGAAATTTGAATTTTATTTTTATCAGTAATTTAATTAACTTTAACAAATAAACACCAGCACTTTTAATTTTATAAAAACGTGTAGCAGAAATTCAATCATACCTTTAAGTGGATGTGCAAGTGGCAGGTATGGGTACTAAAATTTAGGACAAGATTGGGCAAATCTTAAATTTGACTTTTTAGCTAGATGTCTCAGTTTCACATGCTCTTTGAGAGTTTCAGATCAAATGAAAAGAAAAATTAGGTCAATGGAAATCCAAACTGGCATTACTTTTTTTTTGTCCTAAAATAAAAATGCATGACAATTTGGTTTGTGAATATCTCAAAGTCAACAAGTGGAACCAAAATGGCCGCCATGTGACCGCAAGACATACTGAATTAAAATAAAATGGAATAAAGATAGATCAAATCCAGACTAGCAATTAATTAATCAAAAGACCTCAAGAATCAACATGTATTTCAGCACAAACTAGTTAAATCATAGACTAAATTTTAAAATAAAATAAATTACTTTCACTTTTAGTTTTATCTAGAAATATTTTTCTATGTATTATAACAAAATTAAAAAAAAAAAAGTCACACCAATAATAGTATATGAATTTGATATACATATACATATACATACATATATATAAGAGTATGATTTTCACAGAAAATTAGTCAGGCCGATTCCTAATTACATATTTGACAACCCTCAAAAGTGCTTTTAAAAAGCATTTTTTCGCAAAACGAGGTAAATTTCTTCGTATATTTACTTTATAAATTGTAAATGTACTTTTAAAATCATGGTTTGGTTTCCAACCAAACATCTCCTAAATTGATCTTAAAGACACGTCTTAACCCACTTGAAATATTTTCTACATGATTAAAGTGGGAGGAGTGAAAAAGCCTTAAATACTTCTTATTACAAATTAATCATTTGTTTAATAATTTACACATGGCAGCTGGTGTCATAATCCATGCTCAATCAATTTCCATTATTACATGTACAAAATTACAACCTATTCATGAAAAAGAGCCAGAAATATACATGTCAGAATCCAACAAAAGTAAAATTCACTCAACAAAAGAATAAAATCAAGACAGACAGATATTATCGAAGTTAACTAATCAGTACAACTTTCTTCATTAGTGCAAGTAATTAAGTATCTTATTGATAAAACCTTTTTGAACCTTGGACTGCGAAGCATGAATATTAATTAAGAAAACAATAATAGTACCATTTCAAATGTCAACACATCATGTGAATATATCAGCGCTCTTTCATTTACAGGGCTTCATAAGACCTCCTTAATTAACTTCAGGCATACCCACAAAAACCAATCCGACATGGAATCCCTGGTTTACACTTTTTGTTACACCTGCCACAGTCATTAACGTTGTTCATAACGTTGGTACAAACTCCGTAGCAGCACCGTTGACCTTGCGTGCACTTGTGTCCACAGTTGCCACAGTGATTCATGCCTCCAAGAATGTTCACACATTCCTTCTTGCAGCATTGCAGAACCAGAATGGCCTTTTTAGCAGAAACCCTGTTGCAGATGTTGTTATTGTTGGGATCACAACGAGCTTCTGCACTTTGCTTCCCAAGAACCTGCTCCTTGGTGTGTAATCTTCTGTGTCTTCTGCTTCTAATTCTTCAGTTTCGTTTTCTTTTTCTGTATCTGTTGGTGTGACCTTTGGGAGGTGAAGGGCTAGAAGGGTGAGCAGAAGGAGAATGGTGAATGTGAGGTTGAAGAAGGTCTTGGCCATTTTGGTTTCCTTTGAAAGGTTAGAGAGCTTTTTAAGTTGGATTTGCAACAAGATTGTGAGTTATTGTGAGTTACTTCAAAGGTTTTTCATGGGTCATTTAAACCGCAATGTTTCTTAAGAAAATATATTGCTTGTTGCTTCAATACTTAATGAGATGTCAAATGGGCAAATTGTTTTGAGAGTTATAATTACGTGCCTTTTGGGTTCTTAATATAAATAGCAGAGGATGAATCTTCATTTTGTTTGACTGATTTAGCTTAAAAGGTTAGACATTTTGAATCATATCATTAAGACAATACACCTGATCTTTAATGTAAGACTTATTTAATTAATTTAATTAGATTAAGAAAGTTAGATAAGTTAATTAGTTATAATAAATATATCGTGTTTTTTCTAGAACACCTTAATCATCTTCTTTAATTTCCTCCCTCTCTCCTACTTAGTTATCATTGTACAGTATGGGTAATAAAAAAAACTGATAAATGTACAAAATGCATCTTACATTTATGACCAAGAATATCTCTCTAATTATGTTTTATATTAAGGAATGAAGGAATAATAAATAATAATGAAGCTCCTAGTAGGTATAGCATCTCCAGATGTTTAAAGGGCAACGTTTTTTGTCTTTTTTTTTTGGGGGGGCCACCGAACTAATGAGGGGTTAAACTGAATGTAAAAACTTGACATATAGTTTCTCCATCTTTGCCATAAGATCCCCCAAGAAAAAGATAACAAATTTATGGTTTTTTACCGTTTATTAGTGCCTGATTAGTCTTTTAAAGAGCATTTCATGCAATTGAAAAAAAAGAAGAAAGACAGAATTAGCTAGTTCAATCGGAAAACCAGTGAATGGACTAGTGGTTTGGTTTGGTTCAAGTGTTGAACTGGCTAAAGATTGAATCAAAATCAAATTGGTCAAACGAGTGTAAATCAGTAAAAACTGGCAAAAACTGCTGTGAAACCAGTTATCAACCTGTTTGGATGATTATGTTGCTATTGGTAATATTTTTTCTCATTCAACTCATAATATCTCAGTTATTATAGATTAAATGAATTTTAATGATGATTTTAGTATCAATAATTATTAATTTTAGTTTTGTTAAAAAAAGTATTAATTTTAATTATTAAGGAATCGTAAATATCAAAATTCTCAATGTCATTGTGTTTGGTACTTTGGTTATTGTCACAATCAAACTATTATTATATTTCTTTATATTTTGTTGTTAGTTATTACTAATGTTTTTATATTTTATTATTTTTAATTAAATTATATTATTTTAATATGACTAATTTGATCTCGAGTTGATCCCGGTCTGACCTACTGACCCTTAAACCACTATCTCAACCCGTTTAGGGTCTGATCTGATTTTTTTTCCCTTGGTTTCGTGCATGGTACTCTTTTGTTGTGGAAAATGATGCCAGAGAAAAGTTAATAATTATACATTTATAATATATGATCAGGGAGTTATGAGGAGATCAAAACCCTAAAGACAGGGTGAACATAAAATGGGTCTCCAAAAGTGATAGGCCTGAGCCCCGGAGGGGGAGGAAGATTGATCGCAACCAAATCCATAAACTTGAATACGTTGAAGCGGATATAAATTTGCAATTTGTGATATTTACAATTTGGTCCTCTAATGAATTGAAAATATCACCATGATCTTTAATTCCATGAAAATCGGCGGAACAAAAATGTCAAAAAAGCCTAATATGAAGATGTATTTTTCTGCAAATGATTTTACAAATTTTTTTAACTTTTTTTTAAAAAATCTGCGGTCAATAATCTATTTTTATTCGACATAAACAATGTTTATGTGAACGGAAAGATAATAAAATTCAAAATATACACACATAGAATAAAAATTTAAATGATCCTACTAAAATGCAAATTATTATCCTCAAATCCATTACTTATTAATTCAAGCATACCCACAACAGCCATTTTCACAGTGAAGCCCAGGTGAACAGTTGTTGCCACACTTGCCGCAGTGATTTTCGTTAAACAAAACGTCGGTGCAAGCTCCGTCGCAGCAGCGTTGACCTTGCCGGCATCTATGGCCGCACCGCCCACAGTTGTTCTTGTCTCCGAGAACGTTCCGGCAGTGCTTCTTGCAGCAGAAAAGCAATCCTCTTCCCTTGCTCGCAGAAACTCCATTGCAGATGTTAAAACCAGCAGTACTATCATCACAATGCATGCCTTTCTTTATGATTCTCCTCAAGAATCGACTTCTCGTTCCAATTCCAAGCGAAGAAGAAGAAGAAGGTTTGAGATCAAGAATGTAAATATCATCTTCATCATCTATGTCTTCTGTTTGGAAGGTCATTGCTTGGGAATGTTGGAGCAGAAGAAGAAGAGGAAGAATAATGGTTGTGAGCTTGAGGAAGCTGATGTTGTGAGCCATGTTTGTGAGTGTTAATTTGTGAGCTTTTGGGAGAAATTGGGGCTGATTTAAAGTGTGAGGTTTCGTATAAAAATATTCCATGTTCTTGGGGCAAGGCAAGATCTAACAGATTGAAGCATGAGATCATTAACGTGCGTGCATGGTTTTGTTGATGCATAATTTCCTCTCTAAATTCTCGGAAGATGTTATATATAATTAATTTATGATTCAATAATTAGCCTCAAAATTTCATTTTTAATTCACTTAAATAATTGAGAGAAAATTACTCAATTTTGTAATGTTCTGATTGATTTAACTTACAATGGTCGTAGAAATTTTGCCAGAACTCAACATATATAACTATACAAATAATATATTCTTATGATCCTTAATGAAAGGCTTATTTAACTAATTTCGTTATATTAAAAAAATTAGGTAAGTTAAGTAATTATAAAAAATATGACATGTTTTTTTTAAAATATCATAATCACCTTTCTTAATATCCTGTCCCTATTTTCTACTTAATTATAGTTGAAGGAGTATTAATAGCAAAAAATTTATAAACAAATAAATATAAAACATAGGTATTATATTTCAGACTAAAATTAACTCAATAATTAGATCATATATTAAAAAATTAGATGAGTATATATTGTGTGCTCCAAAAAACTATCTAATAGGATTTTTCTTTTTTTCTACATGAGCACACGCAACCATCGCCCTCACAACCCTACCATTTAAGTTGGTGCATTTGCAAAGGATTGAACGCGTGATCTTTGATTATGTTAGAACAATTTCTACCAATTGATCTAATAATTTGTTAAGAGCTTATAAATATTTTTATGTAATTCAAGAAAAAAAAAATATTTTCATGTATTTATTTTTTTTATTCATTTACGATTGAAAAGCTGCTTTTTGAAGACTCATGGTAACATTTCAAACAGGTCCTAAATGATTTGTTGAGAGCTTACACATGGGGGTTGGCCAAAAGGAAAAAGAAACAGGGGTGCTGAATTTAAGCGGGTTAATATTATTATGGTTGACCACGAAATGCAAATGTAGGTGCACGTGTAGAGGATATTCCTTCCCGGCGGCAACTGCGTTAGGGTCACTGGTAGGTTACGTCACCCGCCTCACAAAATCAGGGTCACCCATTATGGCTTCTACAAGTGTTGCAATCCCAGTGAGTCTTGCGTCAACGACAGGCTTCGTGTGGCGGATTCGATGAGACATTCTAGAGTGCCTACCTTTTAAATAAATAAAAATTCATGTTGTCCTCTTTTTTATATCAGGCCTTACTCCTCAGTGTCATGTCGGTAATTAGTTCGGGCCGAGGCTGTGATTTTCAGATTTTTGAAGGCCTGGCCCATTACACTCTGGCCCAAACCACCTGTTTAATTCATTGAAGATTTAACTTAGGAACTTTATATCCATCATTCATCCTCGGAAGACAAATCCAACGTCTATATTTGTTTGTCCAATTCAAATTTAAAATCCCTCCGCTCTCTTCATCTTCTTCCATTTTCCTTTTCGGCTTTAGTGGCTGCAATGGCTGCCACCAATGGTTTCCTCTCCACTCCCTCCAAAACCCCATCTGATAAATCGGCTTCGTTGTCCAGGAAGCATACCCACTCAAACTCTCTTGATTCTTCAGCTACTCGATCGGCCTCCAACTCCGATTTCAAGTCTCGATTTGAGGCATACAATCGGCTTCAGGCTGCCGCTGTGGCCTTCGGCGAGAAGCTTCCAATTCCCGAGATCGTTGCCCTTGGTGGCCAGTCTGATGGCAAGAGTTCTCTCCTTGAAGCGCTCCTTGGGTTCCGATTCAATGTGCGCGAGGTCGAGATGGGGACTCGCAGGCCCCTCATCCTCCAAATGGTTCACGATCCAACCGCCCTGGAACCTCGATGCCGTTTCCAGGTTTTGCGGTCTCTTCTCACTTCGGAGCTTTTGAAAATTTTCAAATATGTTGCGCTTAATTTTCTATCATGCGTTTATCGTTTATACGCTAGGAATCTGAATTCACAGTTTGAATTTTGCCAAGTTTACCATTTCTTCTCAACAGATTCTTCAGCGGTGTAACTTTGTATTAATAATGTGTTGTTCAAGAACCTGAGGTTTTAAATTGAAAACACAGGAGGAGGATTCAGAAGAGTATGGAAGCCCTGTCGTTTCGGCATCTGCTATTGCAGACATTATAAAGTCTCGAACAGACGCACTTTTGAAGAAAACTAAGACATCAGTATCTCCAAAACCGATTATAATGAGGGCAGAATATGCTCACTGCCCTAACCTTACTATTATCGATACCCCGGGCTTTGTTCTTAAAGTAAGTACTGCGAAAGAATTTATGAGAATAGAATGTTCGACACATATGAGCTTTGTTAGATGTCTAATGTTTTGCTTTAGTAAATGAGTAAATTTATTTGTCAGGCAAAGAAGGGAGAACCGGAGAACACACCTGATGAAATTCTTTCAATGGTGAAAGAATTGGCCAGTCCTCCCCATCGCATCCTCTTGTTCCTGCAGCAAAGCAGCGTGGAGTGGTGCTCATCCTTGTGGTTGGATGCGATTCGTGACATTGATCCAACATTTAGACGGACGGTGATTGTGGTCTCCAAATTTGATAATCGTCTTAAGGTAAAATAGGGTTACTCCCAATGTGTTCATATAAAGTCTGAATACAACTTGCAGTGCATGAGGCTGTTCTGGTTTAACTTCAAATTCAACTGTTTGTTGGACACTACTGGACGACTAATTTAGCATAAATAATAGATGATAGATGATAAATAATAAGCTAGGCTGGTAAAATTGAAAGGCCACTTTAATTGCTCTATGTCATACAAAAGAAAATCGTCGTATCCCACTGGCGGCAGTAGGCTATAGAATTAGGCATGGACACAAACTAATTTTATTTTGGTGTTGGTTATTGGAGTTAGCTTTCTATTGTATGCAGGAATTCAGTGATCGATGGGAAGTGGATCGTTACTTAAGTGCAAGCGGTTACCTGGGAGATAGTACTCGCCCTTTCTTTGTGGCCCTACCAAAAGATAGAGGAACTGTTTCAAACGATGAATTCCGCAGGCAGATTTCTCAGGTAGACTCAGAAGTTCTGCGTCATTTGCGTGAAGGCGTCAAAGGAGGTTTTGATGAAGAAAAGTTTAGACAATATATTGGTTTTGGCTGTCTGAGAGATTATTTGGAGGCTGAGCTTCAGAAGAAATACAAAGAAGCTGCACCAGCAACTCTAGCATTGCTTGAGCAGCGCTGCAGCGAAGTTACTTTTGAACTTGCAAGAATGGACTCGAAAATTCAGGCCACTTCAGATATTGCACATCTTAGGAAATCCGCTATGCTATATGCGGCTTCTATCAGCAATCATGTGGTGCGTAACAAGAGCCAAATTCGAAACTCATTTCTAAGCAAAAGGGCTTCATAATTAATAAGTTGGCATGTGATTCAAGTTAGTAACTATTTTGCTCACATTTATGTAGGGTGCATTGATTGACGGCGCAGCTGACCCTTGCCCTGAACAATGGGGGAAAACCACCTCGGAAGAGCAATCACAAAGTGGTATTGGGGTTTGGCCTGGGGTTATAGCAGATATAAAGCCTCCAAATGCTACCCTTCGTCTCTATGGAGGAGCTGCTTTTGAGAGGGTGATGCATGAATTTCGCTGTGCAGCATATTCCATTGAATGCCCCTCAGTGTCAAGGGAAAAGGTGTTGCGCCTTACCATGATCTTATTTGGTAAAATATGTCAATCCCACTTCTTTCAACTCAATTCTTTGGTATTCATCCAACAGGTTGCGAATATATTACTTGCTCATGCTGGGCGAGGAGGGGGAAGAGGTGTAACAGAGGCTGCTGCAGAGATTGCACGTGCTGCGGCTAAATCATGGCTTGCACCTCTTCTTGACACTGCTTGTGACAGGCTTGCTTTTGTTTTGGGAAGTTTATTTGATTTGGCTTTAGAAAGAAATCGCAGTCGTGACTCAGAATGTAAGTGAATCTCCATCTTGACTTTTTTTCTCCCTTTTCCTAACTTAATAGGTTCTCTATGTCCATCTTCAGCGCATTAAAGTAACCTCTTCTATTGTAGTTCTTAGTTTATTGGAATTTACAATCAATGTCATGGATATCATGTGAATTGTGTATCCTTTAATGATTAAAAAAGCCAAGCAAAGTTACTTTTTCCGTGCAGACGGGAGTGAAACAGGAAACATGGATGGTTATGTCGGCTTTCATGCTGCTCTAAGGCGTGCTTACAATCGGTTCATAAGGGATCTAGCTAAGCAGTGCAAGCAATTAGTTAGACACCACCTTGATTCAGTTACCAGTCCATACTCACAGGTCTGCTATGTTAATGACTTTCAACTATCTAATGGCCTAAATGCTACCTCTTTTAGGCAGGCTTCTGCTGCTTCCTTTTTTCTTGAGTTGAGTGATATAGAGTCAACTTCCCGCAATATAATGAGGGATCAAGAAAATATACCCCCAGAAAAGAATGGACAGGAAACTACACCTGGTAAAACTGCAGAAGCTAAAGAGGCTTTGCGAGAAAGCCAGATGACTGTACCTGAGACGCCATCTCCTGATCAGCCAGGTGATCCTGTCCACATTGGGGCTAAAAAAGATCTTGGAAATTGCAATGACTTTGGACCAAGAAAGAGAATGTCAAGAATGACAGGAAATAACAAAAATTCTGATAGTCTGAGATTGCAGAACGGTGGCCTTCTATTGGGAAGTGGGGATAAGTCAGGTTCAGCGTACTCAGAAATATGTTTATCAGCAGCACAGCATTTTGCACGTATACGTGAAGTGCTTGTTGAGAGAGGCGTGGCATCAACGTTAAATTCTGGATTTCTCACTCCGTGGTAAGCTTATTTGTCTTTTGTAGATCAACTCATCATAGCAGAATGTTATCATTATGAAACTCAAACAACCTACAGATTTTCTAGCTAGTAGTTTGAAGATGTCGAACGCCAAGTATTTTCCATGCAATGACTTCATTCAGTTGCGAAGTACTAACTGAAGCCTTGCGGTAGCTTATCATATTTGCTTAATTTTTATAAATGATTTTTATAAATAATAATGTAGTTTATTATTATTTTGTAACAGCGTTTTGTATGCAACAAAGGATCTCCTCTGTTTCTAAGTTAAAATGTGCTTAATGCAACTTAGAACCTCAAGTGTTTGTTATTTGTTATCTTAGTTCGAATAATACTTTCATTTATAATACAAATAGTCCTAAATCTGCGAAAAGAAGTATTCATTATCTCATGTATAAACCCTAAATTATAGAGATCAATAATAACTTGAAGTGATCTTCTTTCCCTATTTTGTTGTCTATAAGAATATACAAGAAAAATATTACACGTTTGTTTACTTTATGGTAGATTATATTCTTATATTACAAGTTATTTGTTCTATTTGGATGGAAACTTTGGTTAAGATCCCAAGTTTCCACATCGGTGATACTGTAGTCTGTAGCAGGTATCTTACACAGCGAATTTGCTGAGTGAACTAGAATAGATAATTTTTGAGCCAAATGGATTTTATGCCTAGTTTTATTCTTTCCTCCATTCAGATGATGACCTTGTGTTTTCTTTTGTGTTCTGTGCAGTCGGGAACGGCTTGTAGTGGCTCTTGGGTTAGATTTGTTTGCTGTGAATGATGAGAAATTCATGGACATGTTTGTGGCCCCTGGTGCCATAGATTCGCTGCAAAATGAACGAGATTCTCTTCTGAAGCGTCAAAAAATACTCCAATCTTGCTTGAATGAATTCAAAAATGTTGCTCGGGCCCTTTGATAGAGCTAATTTAATCCAGCTTCCCAAAACTCTGATTTCGGAGGCCCAGTTTTTCTGTCCATCTCTCGTCATATGCAAATTGTATTTTACTCACATCTAGTGAGAGAGAGAGGGGGGTTCATTTTGGGCTTCCTCAAAGCTTAAGATACACTATAATTTTGCTCTTAATGATTTTCCCTGGCTGGTCCTTTTCAGCGGTCTACAGAAATTAGCTCAATTTTTCATTCACGGTGGTTCACATTCATCTTTCAGGAAATGGAGCAACATGGGGACCAAAATACCCTACTGGATATGATTCCTGAATTAATTCAGGCAGATCTGATTAATAAAATTAATGTCAATATTCATACACTAACATGTACAAAGTTTACACGTTATTTAATGATTAGTTTGATGATTGGTCACAGACAGTTGTTCGCATTTTCTCTGTTAAATGCATGATGCATGATTTGAACCACAGGTGGATTCTCTCAAGTCGATGGTTTGGTTGGTATTATTTGATTTTATATCCAAACTATCTGCATTCATTGTCATTGAATTTGCAGATTAGGAAAGGTAACTAATTTGGGACCATTTTTTGACAAGAGACAAGGAAGGAATTGGGCTCAGGAGGGTTCTATACTTTTCTGAAATATGTTTGCGATTGTCAGTTTGTGAATGAATGCATTTTCATGCTAACAAATTGGATGCTTACAAGCTACCAATGTTTAATGCAGAGAAAGCCTCTCTTCACCAACATGTTCTGGTTACCAAATGCTCTTTTTGACCTTTCCTAAAGCTTCTCTTTATCTCCGACTTTTTTTTCCCTGGAAAAAAGATTAATTGCGTAAAATATTATTTCTAGAATTTGAAATTTCAATTTTAGTGTGAATTGTAAGCAGCCACTCTTCTCTTCTGACGGGTATTAAAACTAACAGGAAAAATGCTTGTGTAAAACATTAACTTTGTCAAAAATACAAATATTCATGATGAATTGAAATCCTATAGATGGTTTTGCTTGACTAGGGAAATGAGGGAAGTTGAACTCGCCTGAAAGTAAAACCGATTACACTTAGTTTACTAAAAGTTCAGAATTTTTGGACATTGAAGATTCAATTGGGAAAGTAGCCAAGTAAAACTATGGCACATGTTTTTCTTAGTATTTTATTTTATTTAACTCACCATTAATCTCCTTATTCCTGAATTATCTGCATCTTTCTTATGCATCATTTCCAAAATCTCTAAGCTTGATGCTTCCATCACATTTCTCTAGCTTCTTTCTGCAGCAAAGAGACAGGTACTTTGTGGGTGTAAAGATAACAAGGAGGTTTATGACCCAAAAATAATAATAATAAAAAGGTTTGTTTGCATCTCTGGCTTCTTCCTCATCAGGTTGGTCTAGTTTGCAGAAGATTTTAGGAAGACATAAGTGCTTCTTCTTCCTCAACAGTTGCAACATTTCATGTCTCTTAATACTTTTAACATGTCACTAGAGAATAATAATACAACTGCGGGCTTTTAGTGAACAGACTAAAAATAAATACACCGTTCTTTAATATAATATAATATAATTTGAGCTTCTTAAGCAAATCAATGATAAATTAGTTTTCCAAGAAGTATGATAAAATGAAGCAAATAAATTAGGCTTTCTTTCAAGGATATTTCAAATTTTTTAGTACATTTATTTTTTATTATTATGTTGATCTACACTATTAAAATCATTAGCTTATTCATATAAAAGACAAAATGACAATGAGCTGATCATGATGACCCTTTGTGCGAGGGGTTATAAATTTCAGCAAAGGGGTTTGGAGAAGAAGCTAAAGCAACTTTTAGAGAAAATAAGGTCACATAGCCCATTATTTAAAGGTCACGTAAGTAAGTCCAATGAAAAGAACACATGTCTTCTTATAGTGGAAATTAAAGCTTCTTTTTTTAAATAATTTCCTTAGATGTTACTACACATGTCATGATGAGAGAAGCACTACAAAGAGGGAAAAAAAAAATAAAAGGAAAAGACAAGATATAATATTAATAATGGAATCACTCTTTCAACATAATTCATTCATTCATACATGAGATGAGCCTTTGAAATGGCAATACCAAAGTCTAAGTGGTCCCTTTTTATCCCTTTCATCCTCTCTTTGTCCCACTTTTATGAGAGACCTATCCCAACATCTTATTATTGTAATTATTGTTATCCCATTCCTCACCATATTTCAATCCAATCATAGTCTTAATTAATGGTAACCCTAATTTAGGCTGCAATCACTCATGTTTAGCCATTTTGTTATATATACACTCTTTTTGCTAAGATACACGTTTCATCATCTATGGTCTTGTTAATGAAAAATGTTGATTCAACAAATATAAATAGCGACTCTGCAATTTAATACCAATTGATGCAGATGTTGTCGAATTTAAACTTGATTTTTTTAAAAAAAAAAAACAGCTCATCAAGTCCTTCTTTTCTCTTTTCATATATTTGAATATTAGCTTATATATTAGCTATATATTAGAGATTTTTTTTTTTTGAAGATGAGTGACCATATAATTTTGTATTCGGGAAAAAATACAAAATAATAATCTTTATGACCAATACAATAAATAATATCGAGTAATAAGAATAGAAACGTAATAATATTAGGGTATGCCCAGTAGATTTTGTTTGTCTCGGTACCAAATATATTAATCTAAAATGGAATTAATATTTTCAAAGAAGAAAAGCTATCACTCAGAGGCAACACCGATGTCAAAAATAAAGCTTCTTTATCTTGCATCCATTTATTTTTTTATTTACTTTTTGTATTCATCACTACTCTTTTAAATGCTAAATGTTTAAATCAAATAGAAAATAGAGACAAACAAACAGCAGCAAGATTTTGCTTCAAGATGCCTTTGTATTCTAGTTCTTCCTCTAAAATACAAATGCTATTATTTAATAGTAGAGATAAAGTCACTTTGAATACGATATGAATTTAGAGGCAGTATTTTTTTTATTTTCTAGAGAATGACTTGTATAATTTTTATAACAATAGAGAAGCAGGATTTACAGAATGACAGAGTATTTAATTAACTCGATATATTGTCTCTAAGGTACTTAAGGACAGATTTTTTTAGTTCTTGAGTAGGTATAAATAAGTATAACTCATTTTGATTTGTGCACAATATATTTTCAGTTATACGCAAATGTTTTTTCGTTTTGCACATAGTTACCAGAAAAAGAGTTGCACCCACTAAAAGTAGTAGGTTTTCCCTTAAAACCTTAAACAAATTTTATAATGAGCGATTTTTCAGCAATCAAATTACTTAAAGTCTATATATAATAGAGTGAAATTACGTATGATCATGAACACATCTTTTTATTTTCATTTTTATATTTTAAAGTTCGTGCTTCAGAGCGTAAATTTCAAGCTTTCTTTCTTTCTTTTTTTTTTAAAACATTTTTAGTTCAAATGTAACACATGTTTCACAATTTTTTTTTTTTGATAACATTAACCAAATTAAGACTTTCATATTGGGAGATGTATAATTATGTGGATTCTTGGTGGATCCCAATTAATGCCGAATATAGCAAATATTAATATTCAATAATGAGAAATGTTTTTTAAGAAAAAGCCAAAGAAGTTGCAAAGCATCACATATATACGGTATCAGAACCCATTCCCTCTCTAATATAGGGTAATTTATCATAATTAAAGTAATAATTATATTAATTTATTTAGCCTTCTTAAATAATTGGATTAGATATCGTGGCCTCGTTTCGTATTATTCGTAATTCATAATTACTGTTACTTGTTATAAAAATTCAGGCCTTTTTTGTTATAGAAAAGGATTTTTAATTGAATGGAAATGAATTGTAGTGTGGTAGACTCGTCTTTGGGCACGCATACTCAACATCCATCCCCCCCCAAATTTTGAGTCAAAGACAAAATGATATACCTCCAGCTTTTTAATATATGACTTAATTGTTAAGTTAATTTTGGGTTTAAATATAAGACTTGTTTCTTATATTTATCAGTTTCTTCTAAATTAACTATATGGATACTCTATCAACTATAATCAAGTGAGGGAGAGGAAAAGGATATCAAGAAAGATGATTATAGTGTTTTAGAAAAAACATGTCATATTTCTTATAATTAACTAACTTACGTAACTTTCTTAATCTAATCAAATTAGTTAAATAAGTCTTATATTAAGGATCGAAGGAGTATTAAGCAAATATGAGTTTTACAGATTACATACATTTTTGCCCCTTGATTTTATTGGCCAATAACACTTTTTCTTTCTTACTTTAAATATCTTCTTTCATTAGTTTCTCTATCTTTCATTTTTGTTACCTTTAATTTCTTTACACATACTACCTTCGATTCTTAATATAAGACTCAATTCACTAGTTTTAAAAAATTAAAAAAACTTAAAAATTATTTAATTATAACATCTGTTATATGATTTTTTTTTTTACAATACTTATATGTATCATTATATTATATATTTCTATAGAAGCCCAACAATTTAGTTTTAAAAAAAACGATAAATATAACATTTTAAAATAATTTATTTAATTCTTTTAATCTCTCCAAATTAGTTAAGGTGTTATATTAAGGATTGAAAGTAGAGGTGAGCAAAACCGAACCGTAACCGAAAACCGAACCGAACCGAATTTAATTTCAGTTTTTCAGTTCGGTTATTTCGGTTTTCGGTTATATATTCGGTTTTTATTTTTTAAACAATTCGATTTCGGTGTTCGGTTCGGTTAGTAGAAAAAATATATTATATATTTATATTTATTAACCGAAATAAATATATTATATATGTGTGTTCGGTTCGAATAACCGAAATAAATATATTATATATTTATATTTAATAAATATTATTATAATAAATATATATGTGGGTATATGTGAATTTTTTAAATATATTTATATTCAACAAATATGATTACAATAAATATTATTATAATAAATCACATTGAATGATGAAATATTTATTAATTAATGGTTATAATTGTGTTTTATTATTATTTTTAATTTAAAATTATTTTTCATATTTATATATTTCGGTTAATCGGTTAACCGAACCGAAATTTTCGGTTTCGGTTAGTTCGGTTATTCGGTTTCGGTTCGGTGTTTAAAATTTACTCTATTCGGTTATTCGGTTAATTCGGTTATCACCGATAACCGAACTGAAAAACCGAATGTTCACCCCTGATTGAAAGTAGTAATACGGTAAAAGTATTAACCTCGCTAAGTAACTTTTGAATATTGATCGCATTATGAACATTGATATTTCATTAAAAAGAAAGGCAACGAAGGTATCATAAAAAGTTTTGAATCAAAGCATATCCACGAGGCATATTTAGGTTAAACCATCGAACATGG